TTGGAGGATGAGTCCAACTATATGAGCAAGTAGCAATACCCATAGCAGCTGGAAGCCTGTGAAGGCTCCAGCCTGTAGATCGGCTTCTAGATTACCAGGATCGAGATAGGCCAATGACATAAGCCAACCAGGACCAGCATACTTGCAAAATGTCCGAAACGAGAACTTAACACCGGGCGGGTCAATCGGTATTTCGACTTGCTTCTCCTTGCCAGTTCTCACAGGCAACTCCGAAGGCTCATCCACTAATTCTACGCTTTTGCCGCTTGAAATGCTACTCGAGTCGATAGCCAGAGGCGTCGAGTTAGACTCCTCCGTAGACGGATCGGGGACGTGTGACATTGTACTAGGACTAACAATCTAAGTATTAGGAAAGCATGAGCCCACCTATTCCTACACCCTATGGCATGTCACGGCAACTTCATCAGTGAAGACTATCCCTTCCGGCCATCTACAACAAAAACCCCGTACAGGCGATACCACTATTCTTGACACCATTGTTACACTGTAGTAGACAGTATAAAAACCGCTCGCCGCTGGCTAGGGCCTGATGCCTCAGACTATCACCCCTGCGAGGAAAGACGGGGGCATCAACCCTCTCAAGAGAATAGATTCTGCCCTTGCCAGATGTGGAATCAGTTTGCGAAGGGGAACCGAGAGGGGCACCAAGCTTGTATCGACTGCGGACCAAAGACGACTCGAAATGCTCGGCGTCACACGTGGCCTCGGACATAGCTGGGCGTCACCAGGAGACAGAACGCCCAGCGAAGCCAATAATCCCACCGTGGAGTGGACTTGAATATCCCCACTTATACCTTTCCACCGAAGGTTCAGCCGAAGCATCTGGGTGCAAGGGCTCGTCTTTCCAAACACGGAAATGGTCACTGCGCTTTACGACACTGCAGCGGATGGGAGATGGATCTCGATAGGAGAATGCCGGTGGCGTTCACGCCCCTGGCGCCACTGCTCCATACCACTCTGTCAGCGTACTCGTACATCCCACTCGCACAGCCACCACCACGCATATGGTCCCCTCCGGAACAACGATGGGGAGAAGGGGGTAGAGAGGCGCACAGTCGTGAAGGCAGGCCTTGAATTCCCAACAGGCCCATCAGCGATCCTTCAACAGGCGATATGACCCCGTGCAGGTCTGTACCCTGAATCTATATCCATACTATTGATAAAAGAGCAGCAATCGTCGTCAAGGGGTCTGTTTCACAAGGATGCTTAATTTAAGGCGCCTTGAGCATTCCTAAACGCAAGGCGCCTTAACGTGCTTACTTAAGTAGTGAAATAGGATGTCCTTATTACTTAAGGTATACTTAAGGCGTTACTTAAGTTTGAGGCGCAGTTTGCTCCTATGAAAAGGCCCAAGGTTTCGATTTCACTGCGTTTTCCAATTTATTCCCGACGAGCTAGATTATAGTTGTTACTCTCGGTGTGTTCAATAGACCTTCAAGAGCCCACTCAGGATGAGATATCACATGTAAAACTCGATCTTGGGAGCGCTCTAAGAACTCAGGAGAGACCCCATCTAATTACACACGCCAACTTCCAACGTGTAAGAAGTGCAAGATTTTGAGAGAATGACAAGTTGCGAATGCCGTGGGGTTCGTCGTCGTCGTCTGTGGTGATGGACTGTAGACCATCACGACAGTCGCGCTACTGCATCATGATAGGCCTCACCATGGTTCTCAACAGTTTAGGAGTGATCCTATGCCCACATGAATCATTCAACACGCCCGGCCCTCGTTGGTCTCCTGTTCATCGCAATCTGCATCTTCCTATCATTCACCATAGTCCCAAGATTCCTATACCCTCTAGTAGAGACGCCTTCTAGTATCAGTCCAAGCCCATCCCCCTGGCTGAACAGAACAGTCGTCAGCTTCGTCACCACTACAGTGAAGGGCTGTAGTGTGCTGGGCTCTACTGCACTTATCCTTCGTGCCCTGATAAGAAGGAGAGCCGTAGCAAGAGGCTCAGGAGCACCTCCTGAGAAGGAGGCTGAGGCTCGAAGGGTTATGGCTAGGTTCGCCGAGAAATATGCTCGACGAACAGGGACTAAATTCTGCCGAGACCGAAGGGTCACCGCCCGAGTAATCGAAGGTCTAGCAAAGGTGGTGTCACACTGGTGTCACCATCGATGTTGATGACTCTTGTTGTCAGCATAAAGTGGAGCTAGGGGCACCTCTCTGCCCGTGCCGGGACTACGATGACAAGGAAGCTGAAGTGAAGCGAGCATATTGGAATTGCCCTTGTGTGCCTATGAGGTTTGTGCTATCGTCCCTACCGTAAAATATCCATGTTCTCCTCCAGGACGAAAGGGCACTGTCATTGTATGTTGTTCCTACAGCCGGACAGTGACTGGGCATCCGACAGCATCCCAAGGATCACCGTGACCGACATAGAAGACCTTGCGCTGATGAACCTTGACTGTTGCAGTGACGTTTCCACTCGTTGTTGTCTAGTGTTGGTAGTGTAGCATTAGACTGGCAGTTGCGATGGACATAGACTCACTCTCCTCGCATTCATCAGACGTAACAGTAGTAGTAGACGCATCCCCAGTGTCTGGCCCTTCCCGACCAGCCTGGCATAAGGAGGGCGAGCCGATGCAGTTGCTCAGTGTTGAACAGGAAGATGGCAGGGAAAGGGTACTGCAATAGTAGTAGTGGGTGTAGGGTAAAGGGTGCCTCAGGTTACTGTGTGCTCAAAGGCTAAGGACTACTTCATCAATAGTATTGGCAACAGGCCTGTAGCCGTAGTAGTGGTATGTGGCCTCTACCGTAATACTACTACTGCTATTCCTAGACCTACCGACGACTTCTAGTAGGTACGGGTAAATCCTACTTGCTCAACCTACTGAGCCATCACCACAATGACTCTGAGGAGCCCGGAGGTGCCGACAGTCCTGCCTTCACTGTGGGCGCTACTGTCAACGCCTGTAACGATGGACAGTGTGGAGGGGGCTCATGGGAACTCCTCAGGCACTAGTGGGATATGGATGTGGGCGAGTAGTATTAGCAATGATAAGGGTAGTTCAGTAGCATAGGACATCCTGGTGGGGGAGCACACCCTTCCCTTTAGGCCCTGTATATGTACTGCTTGACTGTGAGGGGTCCGGCAACGTTGAACACGATAGAGACCACGACTCAATACTCTTCGCCCTTGGTACCCTCTTGAGTGGTTACTTTATATACAATAGTAAAGTAACCTTGGCATCTCCCACACCACCTCCCCCTATGATGCCAACTCAGGGCGTGATCGATGAGAGTGCCATCCAGACCCTGTCGGTGGTCACCTCTCTAGCACAGCATATACAAAATGCACAGCAAGACGAAGGTAATCCTCTTGAAAGGCAGTCGTGTGAGGCCGTCCTTCCTTCTCCTCAGTGCTCACAACAGCCCCGCACTTCCTGTGGGTGGTAAGGAGCATTTCTGTAGTGTAATATTACGACTTCACCTAGTTACGTGATTTCGTCTTGGCCCTTGAAGACCAGAACCATCGCCCGATCAGCGCGCAGGAGTACCGGACCTCCTTCATGTCTATTGTGGAGCGCTATGGCTCAGATACCTCGAAATTGCTCTATCGGACAAGAGTAGTGTGGCGGCGTACCGCAGCCAAGAAAGTCGCGACTGCCGAGAGAAACTTTGCAAGTATGTTGGAAGCATTGGTCTAGCCGTTATAGTTCTGGTCTATCAATCAAAAGGTCGTCGGGTCGATACTATATTCCGGGATATATCTCACTTTTTCTCGGCCTCATCCTTCCTCTGGGTACATCTCACATGATCTCACTCATTCATAGTATTGTAGTTCGCTTGGCATGGTTTAAGACTGATGTAGAGGGATTGTGGTATGACTCTCAGCCTATTCACCCATCGCGACTGCATAGCACTGGTCACACCAGTGATCGACGAGGAGAAGCTCCAGGCCTTAGACACCGTACCGTATTCACAGCTCAGGGAGGAGTTCCGAGATCAAGTCAGCCACCTGGCTTCCCCTCAGCCTCCTCGGCTCCTTCCCAGGTTGAACTTCTGAAGACAAAAGTTTTCCGAGATTGCGCGCCCAAAACTATCAACAACGTGCCCGTCACTGGCATCATGTTTGCGAGGCTACTAGATCAGTACGTTCACTCAATCAACAGCAACGAGGTGGTGTGTCCCTACCTCCCCCAGTAGCCGTAAGTGGCCCTTGTAGATACCCAAGGTGGGCTCGGTGTGGCAGGCGTTGCAGGCTCAAGAGGGGGAGAGGGTACGCGGGGTCCTGATGGCCGCCTGTGGGCACGAGTAGTAGTAGTAGGTGCTGGGGGAGTGCTCGAATGAATACCGAACGTTGGTGAGAGACCGTGTGAAGCCGAACCTGCCGATCTTAGAGGCCGAACTCACTGCCAGCATCAAGGCAATACGCCTAGAAGTAGTGATGGGCTTGGCATTGTATACACGGCAACATGTATGTTGACAGGTGTACAGCAGATTCAAAAAGGAGTCTTTGGGGGAGAAGAAGGTCGTAGCTCAATATAAAGAGCAGTTGAAGGACCTCATGGATGATGTAGATAAAGAAGTAATCAACTGTGACCAGCTCTGCCGGTATTATGCCCTGGGTAGATCATCAACAGCAATGAGGTGATGGCTCGAGAAGACTGTACAAGACTGTTGAGACTCTATGGCAGCCAATAGCACACCG